GAGCATGGTTTGCAGATGACACTGTCTGATAAGTAGGAACTAACTGAAAGTTAACAGCCCTACTGAGATGTGACCCTGATGGGAGGTAAGGAAGGGAGGAGACATAACTCGGAGCTGTGCATCTGGTTGATCTCTTAATTCAGAAAGTGTCCTACCTGGGGCTCTGATCAATGCCAATTAACAGTCTTGTCAGATGTTCAGATGCTGGGAAGGAACAAGATTGGAGAACTGGTAGCAATAACAAGGAAGCAGCAAAATACATGGAGAGCGCTTATTATAAGGCACAGTCAAATTGCTTTGCCTACATATATATGAGGAGTAAGTGAATGGATCTTTTGGAATGGGCTGAGTGTGACATGGATTTACCTTCACATAGGTTGACTTGGCTACTAACACTGTTGAGTGCCCAGTTTCTCAACAGTAGAAACCCCAATATGTTACCATTTCCTAGGAGACCAACAAGTCCTTGGATGACAGAGGGATTACAATGGACCTTTTCCATCAGGGAGTTGGCATCAATTTGTCCTTATGGAAATAACCACATATTCTGGAATGGATTTGCCTCCCCTGGTGCTTTTACCAGAACCATCATCCTTGGATTTTCTAATTACTTTGCACACCTTGTACATCTTTGAAACATCCTATAAAATATTTCTTCTGGTCAAGGAACACATTTCACAATGAAAGAGGTAAGACAAATGGTCTAACGACAAGGGCTTTACCTGTTCTTATCACATACACCATCACCAATAAGCAACTGCCTTTGCAGAAGAGTGGGATGGCCTACGAAACATTTCAATCTAGTGACAGTTAGGAAACAACATTTTGTGAAGTTTGAAGGCCATTATGCAGAATTCAGCATATTCTGTGAATCAACAACCAATATATGATGCTCTTTCTCCCATAAACAGAATACATAGGTCTAGAAACTAAAGGATGGAAGAGGGAACGACACTTCTCATCACTTCACTTAGTTAAACAATTTCGATTCACAGGAAGTTGAGACTTCTACCTGGCCATTTGGAGTTCCTTGTGACATTGAACCAATAGGCAAGAAAGGGGGGTCAGTTCACTATGTGACTGGGATGAGTGATCCCAACGACCAAGGGGAAATAGGGAGTCTATCTGCCTCACAGTGGGGTAGGGAAGAGCGTATCTAGAACGTAGGAGATTCACTGCATGACCCTAGCACTACCATGTCCAGTGGCAAAAGGTCAGTGTAGATTATGGCAAGCCAATACAGGACTTCCGAGAGCTCAGATTTCACACAGTCATTGTGGAAGTAACCTCTAGGGTCTCACACAAGTTAATTCTACAAAGTATGCTCAGGATTGCTGGACCCACTGGAGTGGGCTTAATGTACCTTATATATGAGTCCCAGGAAATTCCTTTGGTACCTTCATCCACATCATACTCAGTGATTATCCAAAGATTATCCAAATGATACAACAGCCATACACACACATGACATGGTGGTTCAATGTACAACCTAATTCAAAGCCTACAGCATATCTAGAATAGGTTGCAAGGTAAGTAGAAAAAAAGGGTATCACCGAAAATTCATAGACTTGAGGCTGGAGATAGTAGGTGAAAAGATTTGGGTTGATCTCCATTTGGGAAATGGGTGAATGGCAATTATACATTAATTAATAGCATTATGTTGGAGCAAGGCATTTTTGTAAGTGTAAGTTTGGAGAAATAAAAGTGTTATCCCCCTCACTTTGTTTTCACAAATGGTTGGTCTCTGGTAGTTATTTCTTGTTCTTTTCCTCCCTCCTTTCCTTTCCCTCCCTCCCTCTCCTCACCAACCCCCCCCCCCCACCCCCCCCCCCAACTCAGCACTCATTCTGTCTTGTTTATTCAATTCAGGTGAAATGTTACTGTAGGTCTTGTATTAATGCAGGGGGAAAGGGCAGATGGAGTTGTGGGTAATCAACCATAAGGGAGTGAAAACTGGTCCTTGTGGGGGACAAAAATTCCCAAAAAACTTTCATCATAGTTTGTGTCCCCCTAAAGCTCAACCTTACTTGAAGAATCTTACTCTTTAGTATATAATTTCTGTTATTGGGTTTTCTTGAGTTTCACAAGAGCAACAATGAGGAAGACACACAAAATGTATGCAAAATCAGTACTATAAAACCATGGCGAATAGATGGCTGTGATTGGAAGACTTCCTCAGTGTCTCGAAGTGTTGTCTGGACTTTGAGAATTAAAAATAGCTTTTATTTAATTCTACAAAAGTTATTCAATTGATCTTTCAGTCAAGCACTGAAGAGCGCTTATTATATGACCTGAATGGATACCTAGCAGCTAGTTAAAATTTTTCTTATATCATGCAATATTTGAAAGTTAATTACACTAAAAATCATTTTTAAGAAATTAATTTAAAATTTCATGTTTTATTTTTGCTGAAAAATAAGTTTTGAATAGTATTTTAAAATACTGGTTATACTGCTATTATCACATAGCTATATAAGTTGCTGATTTACATATGTAATTTGATATATTACAATGTAAATGTTACATTTAAAGCTAATCAGCAAATAGTTATAAAGTTGTTCATGGTATCTTAAATTGTTAGACTTTTAAATATTTTAGTCATTATAAAACCTATATTGAGTAAAATCTTTTTCTGTATAAAGTACAAATATACATTATACATTAAATAGGTGCACAGTATATTTGTGGTATTCCAATTTTATTGGGGGTAGCAACTGGGACAAAAATGTCTAAAAAATCTTGGGGGTGATAATAAAAAAACAGATGGAGAAATTGCTTTTGGAGCTCTTCCCACTCCTAGCCAAATGGGAGATATTAATACATGATATATTCTAGAATTATTTGGAATTTAATGATAAGACTGTAGGAGTTTATTTATTACAGTAGTGGCCTCCTAGCTAATAAAGGAGATGAAAACATGAAACATAGTCTGTCCCCATTTCCCCTGGCACTCCCTCTTTTTAGTTCTGGCCACTCCCCATTTGCCTTGAACCAGATTTGATCTCTTCCTCCCCACCTCACATGCCTTCCATCCTTACACCTGAGGTAGTGAGAAAAAACCCATCTTTGTCCAGTCGAAGTCTAAGCTTTGTAGGAAAGAAGAGGTGAGGAGCCCTGCAAACCCAGTGGTCTGTGGAGGGAAGGTAAGTGGGAAGGTCAGAGTTCTTCATGACTATGATTCACCCTTATCTCTTATCAAGCACTTTAAACTCACTTTTTATTAGAATCACAGTTCCCAAGTTCCTTGCCACCCCTCACCATTACCCCCTCACATTACCCCCCATTTTCAGATGGACATCACCTGGGAGACTGAGAGTGCCAAGGACATGGTACCCACCCACTATAGAATCCTTCCTAGGTCTAAGCTGCCTCTGACATTGTCTACCTCTCCCAGGTACTATCCAATCCCTGAGGTGACCACGGCCTATGGAATCAATGCTTCCAGTGAAGAACAGCTCAACATCTCAGCAGCAAAAGCAGGTCTCGATTCATGACCACAAGCAAGGAACCTCCTTGCTCCTGGTGCAGCTTTCTCTTTTATAGATCCTGTTCCCTAAGCAATAAACCTTGTTTCTTTACTGCTTATTGTCTTAAGAGGGGAAAGGCAGCTATTACGAGAGTCTCATTGTCTGTAAGACTCTGTCCCAGTTTAGGGGTCTGGTAATGTGGGGATTAGATGCTGAGAGCTTCCTGGGAAGGAAGGTCCAGGGAAATACTCCCCAAAACAGGGCAAAGGTGGATCTCTGCCTGAGGGCCTCATGACTTAGTGGGTAGTAGAGCTGGGAGGACATCTTCAACTACACAAGGGGACTCTGGCACTTGGCTCACAGTGCTCCTTTCTACCCCAACTTCTGCTTCCATTCTGGGTGATTTCACTGTCCAAATGGATAACCCAACCAGGCCACTGACCCTGCTTCATCTCTAGGAACCATCATCTTCTTCCCTTTTAACCGGCTATTCCATGGACCCTCCTACTGCCCAGAGCTCTTTCTGCTGTCTTCTTTATCATTCTACTGTCTGACCATCGAACTAGTACCTCAGTTCATCCTTCTGGTTCTCTCAACATTCCCTCCCAGACAGCTCTAACACCACACATAGCAGGCACTTAGTATATTCACTTACCTTTCTGTCTTGTTCATAGACTTCAGAGACTCCTGTCCACAAACCCCTGCAATGTTTCCCAATCTGTCACTAAAACTCCATCTTCCTCACCAAGCCTGCCTGGGTTCCCTGGTCCATCTCTTTCTCCATTCTTTGAACCTACACTGTGGACATGGTAAGAAAGATGCAGACTCATACACTCACTCACTGCCCTTGGTTTTGTCCTTATTCCACCACCAAATAACAGAACCAAATCCTTGGAATAAACTAACACTCATCTTCATTCCTACAAGATTACTGAGCACTTTGCCATGGGGAAGGGGGTCTACCATAAATCATGGGCTCCCTGCTCTACTGGGGCCTCCCCACTGTCTGGAGTCCTTCTACAGTCCCCTCTCCAAGTCCTTTCTGTACAGTCCCTTCCCACAGGCCCTCCCCTCCCACTTCCTCAGGGACAAGGCTGCGTGAGTCAGCCTTCAACTTCTCCCTGTCTTTTGGCTCCTGCCTGCTCAAATCTCTCTCTTTTCCCAAGAAAATCATTATTCATGTATCTCTCTTTAGCTACCTACCTCTCTATCCTTCTTGTCTAACCCGTTTCTCAAAAGGAGAGTCAATGCTTGATGTCCAATCTCCTCTATTTTTCTGGACCAGATCTGCCCACATCAGAGCTTCTTCTAAGTATGCCCTCTGTGCCTACAATCCCACTCCCACACCACTGCAACTCTGCCTGCTCTATAGGATAGAGATGGGGCCCAACCAATCCCAGGAAACATGCTAATCTTGCTCCAATGAATCAGCAATGTCACCTCAAGCTAAGCACAGATTGAGGTGGAAACCTTCCCAGTTCATTTTAAAATATGATACAAAAACATGACAGCCCACCAAAAAAGGCAATAAACTCAGAAATGGCAAATAGATTTAATGTAGAGTGTCAACTTCAATTGATTGATAGTGGCTGCCTAGAGAGCTGTGTTGAATAGGTTTCTGAGGATGCACCCTGGCTCGAAGAGAAAGACTGCTGGGATTAGGAATATCTGAAAACACAAGTAAAAGAAAATAAAAAAGTCAATTATATCCACCAATAGTAAGGAATAAAATGCCAAAAGTAGTGTTTTCTCACCCTCTCCATGTGATCCTCCAACCCTGGACTTCCTATAACCACCCAGCTCTTTATCCCACCCCCATGAGCCCTGGCTTCCCCCAATTATAAGTAGGTACCTGAAATCTCACTTGTAGGAGAAACCACAGGCACCAGAACCACCACTGGTGCTGGCACCAGCTCCACCAAGGCCTGCGAAGAGCCCAAACGTGAGAGTGGCTGTCAGGTTGGTGCTGGCACCAAAGTTGCCACCAGCACTGGCACCAGAGCTGGCACCACCACTCTCCTGGGCTTTGGCTTTAGCTCCAGCTCCCGCCTGGATACGGGCTTTGGCCCAGGGTCCAATATCAGCTTCATCCCAGTTGCAGGGCCCAGCAGCATTCTCAGAGCCGAGCCCAATGCCCATCTGAGCTCTAATCTCAGCCCTTGCCTTGGCTTCAGCTGCAGCCTCAGCTGCAGCCTTCATATCTGCTTCCATTGCCTCTCGGTACTGAGCTGCCCATTCCTTAGGGTCCTTCTTTTGTACCTACAACAGGAAGAACAACCATCTGAAGGATCCAAATCTGAGCACCAAGTGCCTACTCTATGCAAATTATAATACCATAAATACTACTAGTAGTTATGCACCTAATATTCCAGCTCTGCTTTGACACTTATATTGACCTTGGACATGATACCTAACAACCTCTGAGCCTGAGTTTTCTCACTTGCAGTAAGGCAATGACATGTCAGCTGTAAGTATTAAATTATTCAAATAAAGTGTTTGCACATTAATACAGGCTTCAGAATGTTTGTGCATGAGCCGCAGGCTGCTCTGCACACAGCCTACCCCAAACAGTGGCACCCCCATGCTCTTGGTATGCCAAGCTTGGGCAGTTCTCCAATTACCTTGCAGGCAAACTTGAGGACTTTCATTTTGCTGGTTTCATAATAAGAGCGCAGGCCCCAGAAGAATTCATATTCAGGGGGATTGCTATTAGGGACTCTGACATAGTCCAGGTACCTTGAAAAGAGAGGTTCAAAGCCTTTATGTCTATAAGACCACTAACGGCCCATTCATGCATTTAGGTGGCAAACTCCCCCACTGACTACTGCAGCTTCTCTTCCAATCTTCAGCCCTATCTCACTGACGCTACCCAGCAGCCATGTGGAGGTACAAGGGGCCTGTATAGAGTATTTGTTCATAGGAAGGCCACAAGTTTTATGCCCCTGTCACAACAACCCAGATTCCTGTTGGGTGTATTGCAAATAGAGAAGCCAATTCTTTAGGACCCCTGCTCTGAGCACACCCCACCAACGGGCTCATCCATGGCCTGGCTGAACCCTGATACAGTCCATCCTAGGAAATGACTGTATAGGACAAAACAGTCAACCAAGAGTAGCGGATTCAATGCATACTCTCGACCATTTGTGTGTGAGCATACAGGCATGTGTGCTGGTGCACCTGCATGAGTGCACACATTTAATCCAAGTACCAAGAACAGGGTGGGCCCTGGCCAGAAAAGTCAGGAGGACTGGGCTTCAGATCCAAATGGATCCTTTACCAGCCAGGGCCATGTTCAGACTTCTACTCTCTGAGCCCCAGGCTCCTCAACTGATACCGGGGTTGGGATGATGGCAGCTATTCTGCAGGGTAGTTATGAAAATGAAATGAGATGTTCAAGTCAAGACTCCAGGACAGTACCTGGCTGCCTAAAGCTACCATTCTATGGCATTTCTTTATGGAAATTAATTTCTATGAAGCCCTAGCTAGCATAGTAAAAAGAACCAAGGTATTGAAGTCAGGATTTAAATAAAACTCTTCTATCTGCTGCCTGTATAACCCTGAGCAAATTACTTCACCTCTCTCAGTTTCAGTTTCCTCACACATACAATACTGGTGATGATAATCTTTCCCCTGAAGATCTGCTCCAAAGGCATATATGAGAGTACAAGTAGGTCAGTAAACATGTACTCATGTTCTCTGCCACTACCTCAGGAATAAGCTACCACTTGCATATGCATTTATATAACATGCACAAGCACAGGCACATGCACCATAGTTTTATCACTCATTTCGAAGACAGGCAAAATGCACAGAACACAGCAACACCATACAGACTTACTTCTGCTTCACAAACTCATCAGTAATGAGCTTCTTCACATCTCCAAAAAGTGAATGATGTATCCTGACAGTAGAGAATGATAAAATACATACATACATAACTACATACATAGATAAATATAACTGGGGCTACAGCACTTCCCAGATACGGACAGAAACATTTCCCACATGGAAAAGAAGCTTCCAGCATAAGATGGAAGCTCCATAGAAACCCAAGAGTCAGTGACATAGAGCAGAGTTGAGGACCATTTCCCCATCCACCTAGTTCAGAACCCTGGACCCAATCCAGCACCCCACCACCCCATCAGACCACCAGGTTGATGCAATCCTGGGACCATCCTCTCTTGCCAAAGGACAACACGGACAGCAAGTGCCGACAGAGCCCAATCATACCCAGGGCGCAGCCCCAACTTGCGCAGCACCTCCCAGATGACAGCTGCAAGGGGAGGCAAAAGGAAACAGGGATAGAAAATGAACATGTGCAATTCTGACCATGACCGCCCATCCAGCTGCCAACCCAGCCACTCACCTTCACTGGACCGATTTCCATTCATGAAGATGATGCTAAGAAGTACCATGAGGAGACCAAGCTTCGGTGAGTCCTTGGTCCTAGGAGAATAATGGGACAGAAAGAAGGTTTACATCCAGGAGCCATCTGCAAAAAAAACCACATCAGCCAGCTCACTAGGCTAGCTTCTCCCAGATTCTTTAGATAGGGGAGAATTCTACCGTCTATGCTTCAAGCTCTATGTGATCCTGGGTAAGACATTTAAAATATTGAACCTAGTCTCCTATTCATAAAATGGGAAAAACACATCCTCCTCTTCCTGTGTTGCTGAGAGAATAGAAGAATGGTATGATCTGGGCATCCAGTCAATTGTGAGTCCCTTCTTGCTCCCCCAGACCCATCAGTTTCAAGAAAATTCTAGGCATAGCCCCACTAATGCCCCTGTCCATCAAGCATCATGATCCACTCATACCAGGAAGCCCTCCTGTGAGAACTATTCGACCAAGGCCAATATGAAGAGACAAGGAATGACAAGTCTGCTTTCTTGGGAAGTTTCTGGAAAACCAGAAAATCTTACACTAAGAGTGCACCACCCGAAGCTTCTACACCCTACAAACAATCATAATCAGATACCATTCCTGTGTGCAGGGCTCCAACTATGTGTGAGTGATAGAAAAGGGCTCTGCCCTTCTTATTTCTTAAGGGGGTATAGGGAGAAGACAGGGATGAACTAGTACCATGAACGAAAGCAGATGCCTCCCTCCCATCCCAGCCCTATCCCAGCTTACGTTCCCAGTATGCCTGCATCAGTGGGCTCTAAGGTGCTGAGAAGAATGTACAAGTGGTCATTCTTATCAATCTCCTTTAATTGGATCCCAAAAACCTGTGGGATGGGGAGAACAGTTTGTGAGACCACAGAATTCAGCTTCCTTGGCATCCCATAGCTCCCCATGTACTCAGGAGTCTGTCTCTCTCTGTGTGTATGTTTGTATTTGTGTGTGTGTGTGTGTGTGTGTGCATGTGAAATCAGTGAGATAATGCACATAAAGCACTTAGCTGAGTGGCCAGCACACAGCAAACAGGCAACAAATGCATTATTGTTATTGTCATCTTTGTGATTAGTGGAATCCAGGGAGCTAGAGAGTGGGGAAAGAAATCGAGAAGTGAGTATCTGAAGTACATTACAGGACTGTCCAGCAGTGGACAGAAGCCCAGACTAAGCTGGGTAGCTTGGGTCCTAGCTGTGATTTTACCATGGACTTGCTGTGTGACCTCAAGCTAATCTATGCCCCTTGCTAGGCCACTGTCTTCCCATCTGCACAGTGACAGGGCTGGATTAGTCTCTGTGGTGCCCCCCAGAAGAGACATGTACACCTTTGTTTGATTCAAGGTTTCCCCATTGCACCCATCCCCCAGGTCTGCCCCTTCACCTTCTCCAAGGAATAGCCTGCTCGTTCAATGATTTCAGGGTACACATCAGTGTATTCTTTGATGATGTCCTTCAGCATGTCTGCAAGGGGAGAGTGTTGCGAGCACCTGGGCTGAAGTGAAGCCAAGCGGCCCCCATACCCAAACTACAGACCCTTTACCAACCCTGCTGTGGGTGGCACAAACAGGTTCTGAGCTAGTGAACAGAGATGCTACTACTGCCAAATTAGAACTTTGAGAGGGCATAAGTGGAAGCAGGAGAGCAAGAAATGCCCTCAGCATGTGGGGGAGAGGGCAATGGAGGGCAGAGCTAGAGGAAGGAAGGGGTTAGTAGGACTCTACCTGAGCGTTTGATGGGAATCTTCGTCTGGTCTTTAACCAACAGGTACTTCACCAAATCATTTGCCTGGGAGAAGTGGAAAAGATGGAAAGATCAAAATATGTTTGCAAAAAACTTGACATAATGGCAGAGAAGAAGGCAGGCAAAGCAGAGAATAATGCAGAGTGGAGAGGACAAGGTTCTTACCCTCCCTTGCAAAAGGGCCACATCCCGGGGTGGTGGTGCTTCAGGCTCTTGGGATGACTGGAGCTTGACAGCTCTGCGGCGAGCCTTGCCCCTACGGGCCTTGGGTGATCTCAGAGAAAGCAAAGCTCTCCGGGCCCAAGCAGCCAACCGAGTCCTTGATGCCCTGCGGGCCCAAAATGCTATGGGGCCCCTTGAAGCCCTGCGGGCCATTGAAGCCATTAGGGCCTTTGAGATCCTTCGGCCACCTGTGGTTCCAGAAGCCTGACTCTGATCATTGCTGCTGTCCTCTTCCCCATTCAGATGCTTTACCTGCATCAACAGAGAGCAAACACAATATTGCCAGATGAAGCAGATGGTCCTTTTTCCTTCATCTTCTCTTTTCCAGAAGTCCCCTCTAATCCCACCCTTGTAGTAACAGCCTGACTCACTAGATACTGGCCATGTTGAATATTGTATTCATCTTTCACTGGTTTCCAAGTAGGAGTTTCATCTTCCCACCAGGCCAGGAGCAACCCAAGTGTAAAGCCTGAGGCTTCTCTTCCTGTGTCCACCACTGATTCTGTTTATATCACCCTGGACAAGTCACTCCACCTCTCTGGGACTCAACTTCCTTCTCTACAAAACTAGATCACTTTCAGGATTTAATGAGATAACCTGTGTGAATATGCCTAGCTCAAGCCCTTGACATATGGTAAGCTACTACGTAAACATAAACTGCATTTTGTTTAGATTTCGGCTATTCATATTCCTATCTCATGTCCAGTCTATGAGCTTTCTGAAGACAGGAATTATAACAGATTCCTCTTTGTGTCCCCCTACAGCTATTATGAGGAGAGGGAACCAACCTTCTAAAGGTTTACAGAACCATGAATCAACTGAGAGAAGTAGAAAAGCAAAGATCTTACCTTTCGGGCTTTCTTGGCCTTGATCTTGGGCCGGGTATCCTGATTCTCCTGAGCCTGACCAGCTGCACCCTCAGGCTCAGGTTCATCTGCCAGAGCCTGAGAGGCAGTAGACTCAGTCTCCAGGGTCTTTGTATTGACCTTTGTATCAGCCACATAGCTGACCTTTTTGGTCTCAGTAGCAGGCACTGTCACAGCCTGAGGGTCAGTATGCTGCATTTTGGTGTCAGCTGCAGGACTCTTCTTTTTGGCTGCTAGAAACTGGGTATCGGTCAGCTTAGTGGTAGGTGAAGCCTGAGTGGCAGATACCTCCTGAGCCTCAGTGGCCTTTGAGACTCCTACAGCATTTGAGATCTTTGTGGCCTTTGAGACCTCTGGTGTCTTTGAGGCCTTCGGTGTCTCTGAGGCCTCCAAGTTCTGGGTCACTGTCAGTACGGTCTGCATCTTCAAGCCAGGGTCCTCTTCTGAAGCTTCAGCCTGTAAGATGAAGCAGGGAAGCTCACAGACTTTCTCCCCACCCCCAGTTAAGCAAATGGCTCCAAAATTCCAGGGCTTCACTTCTCTGACCTATACTAACTCCTATTTGCAGTGTATTCTGACCACCTCTGCCCAGCAAGGCCTCTCCTGAGCAGAAGAGGGGCGGGCCCAATCTCCCTCTAGACTTGCTTCCTCCCTCCTTCCTTCCCTCCTCCCTCTACTTGGGGGAGGGGGGCAGCACCCAAGCAAGGAGGTAGGTGGAGAATGATTAGGATGGGAGGGGAGGTGCGAAGGGATTGGGGGCAGCAACAAGAGTTGGAGAGCAAAAGCAGCTAGGGAGAGGGCAGAAGAAGGGCTTACCTGGAAGCGGGTTGGACCCGTACCACTCTCGCTTGTGTCAGACATGTCTCAAGTCGGCCTGGCAAGAGCTGAGCCTGAAGGGGAGAAAGCCTGGGTCAAGAGGCAAACCCACTGAACGTCTTCTCTCCCGCTCTGCCTGGAGGCTGATCCCCACCCAATCCCAAACCCTCCCAAAGCCCACCACGCATGCGCATCCGTTGCAGGGCCCATCTCAGCCCCACCCGCTTTCCCAGCAGAAGCCCTTTCTTTGATGTCCACCCTGCACATGCGCACTCAGCAGCTGGTGTCTCTCCAAGCTGGCCCTTCTCTACACGCCCCTTTCTAGCGATCCATAGTGCGCATGCGTAATAGTCGAGGACTCAGTCCAACACCTTTTTCCAACACGCCCCTCTCCAAGTTCATAGTATCATTCGGTCCCGCCCCCTCCCCAACAAACCTCACTCTCAAATTGTCGCAGTGTCCGGTAGTCCTGACCCCTCCCCTACTGAATAACCCCAAGTCCAGAACACTGCCTGGTCCCGCCCTTTTTCATAATACGCCCCCCCCCCCAAACAGGGCCCAAGTGCATCTTGATTCTTCCCCGTCCCTAATACACCCCCTCCTCAAATCAGTACTGAGCTAGTGATTCCATCTTTAGGCCCAGCCAAACAAGGTCCAGTCCCCTCCCTTCCTGACTGGATAGATCCGGTACGATCCGGTCCTTTACAGCAGGATTTCTGCAGATCCCAGAGGGTGGGGCAGACCCCTCCCGGGCTCAGATCCAGGGCTGCTCACCTCGTCCTTCTACAATTCCTGAATGCGTCCACGCCCTCTGAGCCCCTCATAAACTCGGAGACTTCCCTCCCCGCTCCAGGCCGGAAGTGGCCCCGCCCCTTTCCGCCTCCCTAGGGGGGCCTCCGTCTGCCCTTCCCCCGCTCCCTACTCCTCATTCCTTATCCCCCACTTCGTACCAGTCCGTATTCCCTCTGCCTTGATCCCTCTCCCTAGTTCTCCATTGACTTTCCTATTTACCCCACAGGACTCCTTATTTCCATTCCTCACATCATCCTCCTTCATGTTACTATTGCACTCCCTCCCCTAGTATTCCTTAATCATTCTCTACATTCCCCTATTTTCTTCTCTGAATTTCCAGTTCCCCTCAGTAGTATTCCCCTTCCCCCTCATATTCCCCATTCACAATTCAACACGCCCAGTTCCCAGTTTTTCCCCCCTCCTTTCCTCAACTGCTCTGTGCTCGCCAGCCCCTAAACCTACGACTCTCTTGGTCGTCTTCGTTGCCTACATCCCGCTCCGAGTAACTTCTCCCCTAGCTGCAGTGGTGCAGTAAAAATTGCCCACCTGCCTGGCTCTATGTTCGAGAGGACTGGAACCACTGTCTGGAAACCTCAATCTCAACGTCCCTCACCTTGTCCTCCAGCGAGTCCGGAATTTGTCTGCCGACTCTCAGTCTCTCTGGAAGTCAGCGTCCTGGACTAGAGCTGCAGACAGCCCAGCCCAGCCCCTTTCCGCAGCCCCCTGCCACCCCCCTTCTCCTTCCTCGGGGGGTGGGGCAATGGGGCCCAGCTCAGGGCTGTCTGACGCCAAAGGCCGTGTTTATGCCACTGTACCAGGCTCGGTCTGAAGCCATTCCAAACCAAAACCACCGCCTCAAAGCGATTCATTCATTGAATATATTTATTTTTATATCTTTATTTTTGCTTATTTCAAAAGTAATGTGTTGCAGTTGTGAAATTTCAAATAATACAGAAATTTGTAACATACTTAGCTCATGCCCCAGAAATAGCCACTATTAATACTTTGATATACATTCTTCCAGATTTGTTTCTATTCATATACTGATTATTTGAGTTTTCTGCCCACAAATGGTACACTATATCTTATTCTGTAACCTGGCTTTTTTTTCCCAGTTGTATATTCTTTAGAATTAAGCTGTTTACAGCTTTCCATACTGTACATTTTTCTTAACTGCTCCATAAACTTTTCTGTATAAATGTCCCGTGATGTATTTAACCATTCCAGGGGTACATAGATATTTCGATTGTTTCCATTTTTTATTTACTGTTACAAGCAGAGTTGACTCCATTTTGATACACAGACTTGTCAACTTAATCTAAAAAGATACACAGAATAACATTTCCACAAGCAATGTCTCTTGCCATTTGTGTGCTGCATATATTACAAATATCTTTCATGTTATTTATAATATTCTTTGTTGTACAAAAAGGTTTAATTATTATGTAGTGAAATGTATCAGGTTTTCCTTTGTCATGACTGGATTCTGCTTCATGCTTACAGATGCTTTATAGACTTCTATTTAGTTTTATGGCTCTATTATTTACATTTAAAAGTTTGATCACTCAAACATTTGTATAAGGATTATTTTCCAAAAAAAAAATGTAGCCTCTTCCCTACACCATTTGCAAATTCATCCATCTTTTCCCCAACTGATTTGAAACGGTACTTTTATCACATAACAAATTCATATAAGTAATTGAGTCTATTCAGGAGAGCAGAATAAGATGTATAAAAATGGAAAGACAACATTATTATTAATTACAGAGTATGAATGCAGAGCTGGACAACCTGAGAGCATCAATTAAAACTATTAGGAACCATAATAATATTCAACATAGTGGTCAGTTATAGGATTAATACTCAATACCTTTCCTACATCCAAAAATAATTAAAATGGTTATGCCTTCTGCTTTATGAAGTCACCCTTTCCTCATTTAAGCAAATGAAATGTGAATCCCTATGTTCCATGAACAATTCAACATATGTATACACATGCACACACACTTTATAGATATTCAAGGTGGGTTTCTATTCTCCTGATTTTTTCTCTAAATTGTTGCTTGCTCCAAGTTTGTGACATCAGCTCACCACTTTCCTGTCTCCTAGGTTCTCTCCCCCAGCCACAGGGCTTTATTTCGCATTAGACACAACCCTTCCTTTCTTCCAGTTCCAGTACTCTAAATTCCCATCCCTTTCAAATCACGGCAAGCCTTGAATGCCAAGGTAAGGACTTTGTTCTTGATCTTGAGAACACCAAGAGGTTATTGAAGGGTTCTAGGCTTAGATACAACATAGATTTGTTTTAAAGAAAGAATGCCATTCTAGTTGCTAACCCATTAGGAGTATGAATTAGATGTCTTCCTGGAAAAATGGAGAGTAGTCATCCAGGTAAGCAGTGACTGTGGTTAGGCCTAGAATGGTAGCAGTGGAGGTGGTGAGAAATGGCTGAATTCAGAGATATTAAATTAAAAATGACAAGACCTTATGAATAATTGGATGTAGGAAAAGAAGTGAGGAGGAGGGAAGTGTCAAAGGGAACTCTTGGGAATCTAATTTGAGAGATCAAATGTGTAGAAGGTAACCCCTTTCACTAATACATGGAATACTAATGAAGGGGATCTGGGCATTGATTTTGAGGTTCTTGCACAACAGCCAAGTGGAAATGACCCACAGGCAGCTGAATATACATATCTGAAGCTCAGAGACGAGGTCTGGACTGAGGTTACAGATCTATAATATTAACAGTTCTTTATTTTTTTAAATTTTTTCCCCAGTTATTTTTATTAGTTGGAGGCTAATTACTTTACAATATTGTAGTGGTTTTTGCCATACATTGACATGAATCAGCCATGGATTTACATGTGTTCCCCATCCTGAACCCCCCTCCCACCTCCCTCCCCATCCCATCCCTCTGGGTCATCCCAGTGCACCAGCCCCGAGCTATAATATGAACAGTTCTTTAATCCATGGGAAAGAGCAAGAGCACCTGGGAAGAATGAAAACCTTAAGAAGAGAAGGAGGCCAGGGAAGAGCCCTGGAGGCCAGCAGTGACCTCAGCATATGCAAAGGAAGAGGAGCCCAGGAGAGAGACAGATAAGTAATGACCAAGGAGATTGAAGAGCAGGAGAAAGTAATGTCACAAAAGCAAGGGAAGAGAATATTTCAAAGGGAGGGAGGGGTCAGTAGCGTTGAATGCTACCCAGAGGTCAAGAAAAGGCCTGAAAAAATGGTTAAGGATTGTAGCAGTCAGGTAGTGGTCTGGTTTCTGGTGACCTTGGAGGGGATAGTTTCAGTACAGACACTTGTGGCATAGATTGCTAATTATTTACCCCAATATACATTCTCCTCTCCTTCCCTAGTGATAGAACATCTGATTTTTACCTGGACGCAGCATGTCTTCTGGAATAAAGGCTATGAGGACAAAGGTCATCACCCTAAGGATAGTGGAGGAGTAAACTAAAAAGAATCGGGACCTCTAACAATTTCATAGGGCCACCTTGCCAGCTTTGGACTGCTTAACTCTGGATTTCTTTTGGGTGAGACCAATATGTGTATGTCCTATTGAAGCCACTGTTTGGGAATCTATGTCATATGACAGGTTTCTTTTTAAAATTTTTAATGTTATGTTTTTAATACAATTTTGAAAGGCTGCTTTCCTTTTACACTTATTACAAAGTGTTAGCTATATTCCCTGTATTATACAATATACCCTTGTAGCTTATTTTTTCCCTAATAGCTTGCATGTCTTAATCCCCTTCCCTCTCCCGACTGGTAACCACTAGTTTGTTCTCTATATCTGTGAGTCATACAGCAGTTCTATGATTGCAGTGAGTTGAAATGTGAATTGCAGGTGAAGTATTCCTGACAGTGTGTATAAACTACTCTTTAAAGAAATGTCTGACTTTGATTCTGAGCCTCTCCCAAAATATAGCCCTGACTAGTTTTCCAGCCTTTTTCTTGTTATTTTTCTGAGTGCTGCCTATATTCCAAACACTTCGCTATCACCAGACATATCCTGCCTTCTCTTACTTAGGAGCCTTTGCTCATACAATTTCTTCCCCATTGAATGCCCTCTGTTACATCTACCTTATGTTATACCTCCATCATTTTAAATTTCACAGCATTTTAAGTACTGGTTGTGGCCTTTAGGATCCTGGAGTAACTTTAAAAGAATATAAGGTTGGACTCTTAGCAGTTATTGGACTCAAGGAACTCAGCCGAAGTCTCAGTCCATGTCCATCGGAGAGGCATTCCGCAAAATTTTCAAAGTCAAATTTCCCCAGTTCCCTGTTAATATCACCACCTTCCTAGAATAATACCATAACCACCCTTATCTTATAATCTGGGGATCAAAGGACAGGATGAAACTTTATCAGGAGAGAACAAAACAAATTCACTTGCAATCTTCACCATTTGACTAGAGAGATTTCCCACCACTTTCTCTCCTTGTGAACACTTGGAATCTTTTGATCTTCAGCATCTGCGTAGAAACTCTGAACAAACCTAGGTCACTGGGTCCCAGATGGGTTTCCAGCATTCACAGATCATCAGGCAAATACCTGCAATCACATAGATCCTACATATTAACTTGGAACAAAGATGAAAAGCTGAGTTATCATCAGGTAGCTTTGTTCAGGAGATAAGGAAAGGCAAACTAAAGACTGCTTAATGCAGAACGTCAGGGAATGAAACTGCCTAACACTGGAGCAGTCAAGATTTCAGACCCCTAAAGTTTACATGGAAAGCCCAGAATATCCTCACCACCAGTCCTCTCCTAACACATTTCAATTCCCCCAAACTATATAAAATCAGTACCTCTGAATGTTGGAAAATTCTCAAAGCTGGAAGCAAGTGGCAAAGATTTCCTTCCAAGGCTATCTATCACTTTTTTAGTCATCTAAGTTGTACAGCACAGCATAGCAATCAAGTTAATATTGGACATCAGACTTTCCTGATCTTCACATTTCCTAAGTTGTTCACATCACTGGGACAGGCTTCCTAACCAATCCTTCTCCTGGACCCCAATCCATATCTCTGTTGGGCTCTTTCTGTTCCAAACACACAGAGAGAGCAGCTCCCATTCTGTTCCAAACACACAGAGAGAGCAGCTCCCATCCTTTCCATTTCCAGGTTCATGTGCCCTCTCCCTTGAGCTGCTAGTGAACTCTCAATTGTTTTCTCCCTTTTATGTACAGGGCAATTTAATTCAATTTGTATCACTTTAAGCCCTGAGAGCTATTGTTTCCACAACCAAAATGACTACATTTTGTTAAACCAAAGGCAAATTTCCCTTAGATAAGGAAACCAGCTACCCACTTTTGGACTAACACTCCTCCTCTTCTCTTTGCACACACCTGTGAGGCAGGTTCAGGCCTCACACTGAACACCAACTATATATTAGGCACCTCTACAGAGGTGGCTTTTTCTCTTCAGGGGCTTACATTTCTACTGTAGGAGCATTAGCCTCATTTTACAAAGGACAAATTGAGGTTATGGGAGGTAACTTGCCCATGACAGATCAACTAGTGAATGACAGAAAGAGAACTTGAACCCAGGTCATTGTGATTCCAAATACCAGAGACTTTACCACTATATGGGGTATTATGTCCCATAATATCCTTTCCAATCCTCTTCATAAACATATGCAAGGCACATTACAGTATGATTTTCCTCTCTGGAGGGCAAGTCTAATTGGATATCCACATACCCTTTCTGATATTGTCATAAAGTATCATAGGATATATAATTATTTTGTTGTAAAATCATTATACATTTTTAGGATCTTATTTTTATTAGAATAATGCACATACAAGGCAAAAATCAA